TCTTTTTTTTAGCCACTTCAGTAGAAAACTACGGAGCCCGCCGGGGGTCAGTGGTGAAAAAAGAAAAACAGCCACCGGAAATCCGTGCGCACGGATTGCTAAACTGAGAGCACTGATTGGTAATCCGTGCGCACGGATTACTAATCTGTGCTCTCAGTTTTTGCAATCTGTGCGCACGGATATTACTAATCTGTGCTCTCAGTTTCTGCAATCAGTGCGCGCAGATTGTGTCGACAGGTTGGACGCATGGTGTGTGTTGTACAATCTGTTTTGTTGTATCCGGTTTTATTGTGAAAGTCTAAACAGGAAGTGAATACTGTGAGTGCGGGGACAACTTGTTGTTTCGGGGTTAGTTTGTTGCTCGAATCCTTTCCTTAGAACACAACCGTATGAAGCCGCATCTTCAAGGTAAATTCAGTGGATCTGTTGTTATATAAACTTAAGGCACTGTCGTGTTCTCATCAGCACACGTTTTATCCACAGAATGTCCCTGAAAGTTTCATCAAAATCCGACGTGGTTATTTATTTATTTTTCATATTTTCCAGGCAAATGAATCCTGAAACGGAGGTTATAGCCTCCTCCACCCTCCCGTCCCCCGTTTTGTTGTGAAAGAGAATAAACATCTGAGAACCGCTGGAGAAAACCTCCGAGCGGTTTGCTGCAGAGAAATGTCCCTCTGTGGCGAGCTTCATCTGCAGAATGACAATCATGGGAGCCGCAGCCYCGCTCTTACTCTGAAATGTTTCAAACTTTATTCAGATGTTTCTGTGGTGTAATAAACGTTTTTGAAAGAGAAATAAACATTTCCTAAAAGTTCAACATAAATCTATTCATTACTTTTGTGATATAACCCTGAGAAGGCAGCYGGMTRACTTTAGCARAACTTCCCCGTTGTCAGGGAAACTGTAAACATCCTGTAACCACGGGCAGAATCTTCCTGTGATGATCCGATCAGASCTGAAACAGCCTTTAGGAGACCCAGTACCAAAACTGACTGATAGAGGGACAAAAACTGTACAACATACTCAAAGTCCAACATTTTCTGTGCTGAACTTTGACTTTAGTGAACAAAAAAACGCTCCTTAAACACTTTCTGAGCTGATGAACGACAGTTCACACAACCACGTCCAGATGTCAGTAATCCGTGCGCACGAATTGCAGAAACAGTGAGCACAGTTTACTAATCCGTTCGCTCAGTTTAGTAATCCGTTCGCTCAGTTTAGTAATCCGTGCGCTCAGTTTAGTAATCCGTTCGCTCAGTTTAGTAATCCGTTCGCTCAGTTTAGTAATCCGTTCGCTCAGTTTAGTAATCCGTGCTCACAGTTTAGTAATCCGTTCGCTCAGTTTAGTAATCCGTTCGCTCAGTTTAGTAATCCGTGCTCACAGTTTAGTAATCCGTTCGCTCAGTTTAGTAATCCGTTCGCTCAGTTTAGTAATCCGTGCTCACGGATTTCCAGCGGCTGTTTTTTTTCTCCCACTGACCCCCCGCGGGTTCCGTAGAAAACAGAACTGAATGTTAGTTTCTTAATTTCTGCATCATCAGTGATTTTTTTTTTTATTGAGCTAAAATTTAATGTGAACGTAGCTGAAAGCTGTTTAATCAAACTCCATGTTAGACTGACCAATCTGTTCAACTGATCACCAGATTTATTTGTCTTTAAACATTGGGTTTTATATAAAATGTCAAACGAACAAAGTAAAAAAAAATAATTCTCTGACGCAGTGGAATAAAAAAAAGATTCAACTAAAGCACAAATTATCAGCTGAGGCCTCAATATGAGCAAACAGATGCACAGCTTCACTCCTGTCTCATCCTTCAATTAGTTTTATTATTTTTGTTTCAATCTAATAAATAAATTCATGTTGTTTCCCTGCTGTTTTACTGCTCCTAATGTACCTCAGGCAAGAAAATAATTACCCCACAGACACAGGAGATAATTAGAAAATATCTGCTCCTCCCATAAACATCCTTCCCTGATTATGTTGCCCCCCCATCCCCCCGTCGCTCAGCGACTCATCCTGTCACCTGATGACCAGACTGAGCCTTCGTTAGGTCCAATAAAACCCGTGTGTCCTCACGTGCGTTCGGCCCTTTTTCAAACTACACCTGCTCGTCTGCAGCAGATAAAGACAATCACTTACTGTACCAAGCTCTGCTGGATGCTTCATTTAAAATTCTCATGAAATATTGAATGAAAATGGAGGCACCGGTCTCCCTGCAATTTTTAACGCTTCAGCGGCTTCTTTGTGTAATCTGGCGAATCTCACATACAGTATCTGACTGGCATCTTAAAGCTGCAGCCAGAGCAAAGGTGTGTGTGCCTCTGATTATAAAGACACACAGATAAGTGTTTGTGCATGGATGGATTTGTTTTCATCCATTATCTTTTAACTGCTGCTTCTTTAAAGAGTTACCGGGTGGTACCCTTCCACAATGACAAAAATAAATAAAAACTCATGCAACTGACAAAAAACTCCAGTTTAGTTTCATTAGTCCCAGAAATTTAGAGGTTTGTCATCATTTCTGTCATGATTTTTGTGTTTTCCTGTTCATACTTGGAGCCCTTCTGAGGTTTCTTTCATTATGATTCAAATTGCGAAGGTTTTTGAGATAAAACTCATCTCGGATTAACTCGGATGTTTTATTTGGCTAATTTCCTACTATCCACACTATCCCACTGACTAACCTGGGGTTGCATTTTCTCTTGCGTCCATTCTGTGAGATTGACTAGTCCCATGGGCCTAATTTTTTATTATTATTATTGTTTTTACCTATAGCAACTGTATTGAAATTGTTTAGTTTTTTACCTTTACATCTTCTTTCCGAGCTCCTCTGGAAGCTCGTTTTTTTTTTCTCTGCTCAGTGTGGCCCAAACAAACAACACTAAACCACTCCATAGCTGTTTGTCCCCTTTAAATAAACTGGATGGCTGATGAAAGGCGTGAACACACATTTTGCTTTGAATGAATCACTTTTCTAGACACATTAAAGCATATGAGCTGTAAGGATACCAACACGTTTATCGATGCCTGTTTCAGAGTAAAAGCATGAAAAGTCAAAGCTTTTCACGTGAAAGGTACTTACTGCAAAGCATGAAATCAAACATAAAACAGGTGCAGTTTGAAAGGTTTGACTTCAGGTAAAATGAATGCAATTCTGAAATGCGGGTGTGCAATAAAAGTAAACAAAGCACTCCCCTAAAAACTGGAAGCTTGGGTCAAGTGTTCGACCTACACTGGGTTGGCTGCAGTCTATGAATGGTAAGTTTAGCTTTTGACCTGTTTTCAGTCATTTCGGCTGTTTCCACAGGTAAACAAACATTCATGGTATTTGGCATCCGTTCACAATTTGATAAAAACAATTTTAATTAAAAGGACACGTTAATCATCAATATATAAATATTTTGTTTCTAATATTACCATTTTTTTCCCCACAGTCTTTATGACTTTGCAATGAGAACCTTTAAATAATGTCATGGGTGTGGCTTCTCTGTGGCGGGGGGCTGGCCGGGCGTCCTGGTGCGGCCCGGGCCAGGCCTTGGCTATCTGCTCCTCTCCACCTCAGAATGATTGGGTCTATCTCCTGGGTTCGGGTGTGCGCTGCCTCCAATAGGGGGTGGGTACATGTCCTGGACCTGGGGGTTATAGAGTGTGTATCGTGTGTATGAGTGGAATGTGGCGTCCTTGTATGTCTTTGATTGAGTGGGGGTGAGGATGAGGGTGGGATGGTGCGATTGTGTATGTTTGGGTATTTGTCAGGCTGCGGTCTGGGCCGCCCCTCCTGCTGGTTTATCTGAGGGCCCGCTGCTACTCGGCCCCCCGGTGGGGTGTGCGGCTGGCCGCTGGGGTGTGTGCCAGCCTGGCCTGGTGGCTGCCTGCTGGGGCTCGGGACCTATGGACCTGTCGGGCTTTGGCCTGGAGGGGGTGCGCCCTGGGGGCTGTGCGTGTGGTCGCTGGGGGGACTCTCCCAGTTCTCCCCTATGGTCTGATCTGGGGGGTGGGTGGGTGGATTGTCCCGTGCGGGTGCTCCTTGGGGCTCTGCGCTCGGGATCCCTCTCGGGCCCTTGGGCTCTGGTCTTCCCTATGTCTGCCTCGTGTCTTGGGGGTAGGGTCTCCGGTCCTCCACAGTCACTATTAAATATTCCATTGGAGAAATCTTGTATATACACGCATGTTCACAACTGCTCACAGACAGGTGTTCTGATCCGGGGGGTTCTGACTGGTCACTGAGTGTGTATATATGTCTGTGTATATACTGACAATATTTATGAATGTAGGCATGTTTGTATGTATATCTTTATATATGTATGGGTATGTGTATATTTTTATATATGCCCTCCATGTATTTATCCACTTATTTTTCAGGTGAGCGGACAGATGTTGGGTGTGTGGTCCTGTGTTTTGTTGGTGTATATTTAATATACTTCTAATCGCTATTTCAATCTTTCTATCTTTCTAATTACTTCTCTCTGTTTTTCTCTCTGTCTGTATTTTCTCTTCACTTAAAAAAGTCACAGATGATGAAGAAATAAATAAACTAAACAAACTAATATTTGGTTTCATTTTCTGCTGAAGTGACTAAAAAAAAAAAAAAAATGAGAACCTTTAAATAAAGCCAGAAGCTGTGAGGCCTCAGTGGTTGTGGATGCTGCTCTCTGGTCCTCAGATCCTCAGTGTGACATCAAAGCGCTCCAGCTGGATCCCATCACTTCCCTTTAACGCAGTCACCTTATGTTCCTTTTGTTACCTCAAGTTAATTTGATCTAACAGGAGCACTAGAAATAAACGAAAACGCAGAGGATGCTCTCATTTATAGGTTGAATATATGCAGCTCCTGATATTATGATTATTATTAGAAGGTAATGACTTAAATATAACAACAGGCTCCTCTGCAGCAGCAGAGTCCATAAATCCTAATGAGAAGCTGCTGCTGAGCTGAGACTGAGACCTGACAGAAACATGAAGCAGCCTGTCTGCAGGGAGAAACGGAAATCCTTACCGTTTAGATTAAGGTAATCCGCCGCTTGAAGAGCTCCACACACACCGGAGGGCGAGGAGAGAAGGAGGAACACGAGCAGTTTGAGGGAGAATGAAGAGGATTCAACCTGCAGCAGATTGCTGGAAAACAGGGAGGGAGGAGATGAGAGAGCGACATGGACTCACGTCGCCCCCTGCTGGTGGAAATCAGAACAACGGTTTTTTTCTCCACTGTAGTTGGGATAAAAAAAACCAGGCTCTCCATGTTTCCTGCAAGTGCATCTGAGCTTCATACTGTGGTACAAGATGTTCCACACAACAGGGACATGCCAAAATGATTAAAATAGAGAAAAAAAGAGAGAAAAGTTCCCCAGCAATTAAAATAAATAAATACCTAGCATTCCTACAAGGTTTGTATATCCCCCGCCGTCTTTCCTGCCAAGTTTAGACCCAGATCATCATTTTTTTTGTCAAATAAGAATAAACACAGTCACGAAAAAAAATGTTAAGAAACAAATAAAATCATAAATCATTGAGATGTTGCGCATAAATAAGTGACAGCGTCTAGGCTTCAACTTTCAGCTTTATTTATTTACAGCAGTAACAACACAAACCAGAGCAAGCATCAAGTCAGAACACAGTACAAACAGCAGATGTAAAAATATGACTGTCCTGCGTGCAGGTGCCTCCATAAAACAGACGGCGCTGCGAGCAAATGTTCAAACTAGTTGTGTTTGTTTTTGGTGAAACACTGAAAAGGCTCAAACGTCTCCAAACGTCACAGCTATCATGGGTGAACAGAGCAAACGAAGTGGAATATGGTTAAAAACTGTATTTACAAAGACAATAATTCATCTTTTTTTTTTTTAAAAACAACCAAGCAGCATTTAATTTTGAAAAACAAAAACAAAAACAAACAAGCTTGTATTTAAAACATTCCTATAGGACGGGCACATTTGAACCATGAGAAGTGTTTAAAGCAGACGTTTGTGGAGCTATGTGAAACCAACAACTTTTAAATTGCATTTCTAATTATTTTATATGCAGCTAAAACACACTTATTTTACATTTACAAAAATATTATTTTACAGATGAAGCTACTTCAGTGTCACTGTGAGACCAAAGCGACAGACTCACAAATTATTAAACAGAAACAGATGATCAAGTCAGACCAACAACTGGATGAAACTCAGGGATTAAAACCCAATACTAGTACTACTTAATCACGATGAATACATGATGGTAATTTAAGGATGCATTTCCCTTTGTGTCACACATTCTGACAAGCAGATTTTAGCTGCCCTGTATGGTGCGCCACTTGTCAAATGAAATGTTAAAAAAATGTCAGTAACATAGTTTTCATTATTTAGCTCACTGTTCTTACATTTAGCTAATTTTTACTGTTAAATTTACATGTTAAAAAACACGTCAATATTTAATCCTGAAACTAAATGTAAAAGTTAAACCTTAAATGCTGAAGTTCACATTTAGGCGGTTCATGTTATGACGTCATCATCCTGAGACGATAGCAACCGCTAGCGGACCAATGCAGCTAAAGCTTCCCTACAACACATATAAACACATTTTGAATTTAGATTTTAAATAATATCTTTAGCAGTGTTAGAAGCGTTTGCAGAAGTTAGCCTCAGTTAACCAGGATGTCATCATCCTGGTTAAGTAGTTTTCTCATCCGTGACATTTATGGTACTTTTACTTATTTTTTTCAAGTACTTTATAGTCCTCTGCTAGCCACTGCTGACGATAATATTTTAAATCTGAATTCAAAACGCGTTCATAAAAAACAATATGGGTGGTTCCTGTGGTCCAGTGGTTTGAAGTGCCGCTCAGACACCGGCCATAACTGCAACGCCGACGTCTTGTAGGGAAGATTTAACTGCATTGGAGCGCTAGCGGTTGCTACTGGCTCACGATGATGACATCATACCATGAGCCGAGCACCAACAGCAAAGGCTGCGTTCCATTCCAAAAATACCTAAATGTGAACTTCACCATTTCATTTCAACATTTAAGTTTTAACTTTTGCATTTAGATTTAAAGCTTTAGATTTAGGATTTAATACTTAAATATATTTTTTAACATTTAGATTTAACATTTAGTAAAAATTAGCTAAATGTACAGGGAGCTAAATAGCAATAAAATGTTTGCGGGAAAATTTTAACTCTTAAAAAGTGACATAAATAATAAAAAAATGTATTAATGAAATTTTTTATTATTTTATTTAAAGTGGCACCCCATAGCACTGTTTCTGTAATGACTAAGACATTTTAGACATATTTCTGCTTGAAATACACAGTTCCTGGTAAAACATCAAAAAAGTACCAACATAAAAATGGTCCACAACAGCAAAATTTTTCATGTGCCATAAAAATATGCTTCTCAAAATCAAAAGCAGAGGAAAAAAAAGCAGTGTTTTTATTTTATAAAACTATCAAGCGATAAACTACTAGGCAATGAAAAGAACTCCTCTGATAAAACACTTCACATTATCAGCTCTTTTTTGGTTTTCAGATAAACGTCTCCTGATGAAGACAACACTGACGTTCCTAATTATTTTTTTTGTAAATTTGTATCATCACTCAGCAAGAACACACAATCATTAACACCTCAACAAATATTTACAATTAATTCACTTGCAGTGTACCTCGTTTTAAGTGAGTTTCTCATGATTATTGCAGAAAATATTGAGTTATTCAGTAACGGAACATTTTAGATTACCGTATTTTTCAGACTATAAGCCACAACTTTTTTCCTGAACTTTGAACCATGCGGCTTATAGACCGGTGCGGCTTATAAGTGAATTTTTTTCTTCAGCCACCAGGGGGCTCTTATGCTCCATTTGCTTCAACCACTCGCTTCAAAAAAAGAAAGGAAAAAAAAAAAAGAAATAACCGATCAGTTCCAGAGCCGACTGTTGACAGGAAGCAGCGATTTAAAGATAGTCAATGGCCAAAAACTCATAAAAGGGGATAAAACAGACATTTTTCACGGTGGAACCTGACTGATAAAAACTTTGGAGCTTAATCCAGGACCAGTTTGTGGATAAACGTCGAGTGAAGAGCCGCGGACTTTTTTCCCCTCATTGCACTCCTCGGGGAAGGAATCCCATGCAGTGACGTATGCTGGAGCGGGAGGGCTTTCCCAGCACAGCTTCAGAGCCAGCATTACCCCGGGAGGACAGCGACACAGAAAGTAACACTGAACAGATACCGCTGTGTGACGCAGCTTTTCTCAGCTTGTTTAACTCCGACACTGAAGAGAAGGACTTCGATGGTTTCAGTACGCCGGAGGACGATAAATGAGACGTTTTGTTAAACCAGAAACTGTTAAAAAAACTACCAAAATAAGGTCAGTTAAATGAACCGTATTCCTCCAAACTTTAATTCCTAAAGGTTTGCTTTTTATGTTTTGATGTTGAATTCACTTTTTTGACGGCAAATTTGGGTGTACTGTTTTTTTATGTTGGGGGTGTGGCTTACAGTCCGGTGCGGCTTATATGTTAATGTTCACGTTTTTTTTTTAAATGGCGGGTGCGGCTTATAGTCTGAAAAATACGGTAGACGTGGTGCGAAACGGGGGCTATAATTCTCAGTTTATGTCTCTAACTTTTAAAAACCAAAAGTATTTTTTTTGTAAACAATAAATCCATAAAAAACATTCTGCACTTTCAACTCTGTCAGTGACAAATTTGAAGCTTTAAATACATTACAGAACCTCCCGTTTCCTCACGAGTCCACCTCGTCTGGGGCTGTGTTGTGTGTGTCGTGCAGAAAAGCCTCCTTCTCGGTGGTCATGGGTTCTCCCTTTATGGAGCAGCCGGGCGTGTCGGGATCAGAGCCGGCCATTGCCTCTGCGCTGTTCCGGATCCCATAACCGAAGTAGATGAAGAAACCTGCAGGTCCGTCAGAAAAAACATTCATTTAAACACCGCGACGACTTCTTTTGAACTCCATGAGTGCAGCTGCGGGGTTCGTCACCGCGTGGTGAAAAGTACCTATAATCATCCAGATGGAAAAGCGCAGCCATGTTCCTTTATCCAGCTGCATCATCAGGTAGACATTAACAAACATGCTGATGACCGGGACAAAAGGCAGCAAAGGAACCTGAGGACAGAGTGTGTTTTTAAAGAGACGACAGTGAATCAATAATGCAGCAGGAATCAAACAGTCTAGGAACAAAATTTAAAGGGTAGAAATAAAAGAGCTCTAAGGCTTGTTAGCATGTTAGCATTTTAGCATCACAGTATTTGTTCCAAAGGTTTGAGGGATGCAAATAAGACTTTTTAAACTTTACTATCCAAACATTAATTTAAAGGGGGGTGTTATGCATTAATTCTATTCCACAATTAACTGTTATGAAAATACTGCATTTACCAAAAAATTTGATCCAAATGTCTTAAAATTGGCCGTTTGTTTAAGAACCTCCTCCCATTTCTGACACTCCCGCTTCAGCACGTTTTCATAACAATGCTTCGGGACGGGAGTACTCTGTAGGGCGGGAGCTCAGCTGGGGGACTGAGCTCTAGGGAGGAGCTTTGTACAAATAGGCGGAGCTTTGTACCAGCAAGTGTTTAGGCAGCTCAACGTGGCTGCCACAGGAATGAATGGGTCAAAGCAACACTCTGGGTGTGTTTTTGATGAGAGAAAGACTTTATAACATGATATAAAGATTTAAAAAAGTGATTTTGCACAACATCCACCCTTTAAATAACAGCAGCAGCTACTGTAGCTTGCACAATAAATGTCTTTGTAAGATTTTTTATGGGTTACAAATCATGTTTTACACACACAAATGTATTACGTACACACAAACTTTATGAGTCTATTTTCTCTCCATAAAAAATGGTCATACGAATACAAACAAACAAATAGGAAAAAAAAACATTTTCAAGTTTGATTAGAAATGTTCTGATCTTGATAAAAGGTTAAAATACTGGATAAAGGAGGATGTTGGGACCTAATATTTTCTCTTTTTAGGAGTTTTTTTTCCTTCTCTTCTTGCTTTTGAAGATGTTTCACATAAAATTGGTTTAATGATGCATTGATATGCAATGAAAAAAAGTGCGTTTCAGAATCAGTGGATTTAACAATGAGCCGAAATGCAAAGCTTCTTAATCTCAAGTGAGTTTCATGTTTATGTGGACCTCATATGCTGTGCTGGGTTGCAAATTTCATTTATTTTACTGTTTGCTGTTATTTATTCAGTTTGTAAGAAAGCACTCAAGCCTACAAGGGAAAAATTTTGATATTTGAACTTTTTCCCCTCGATTGTAACAAACAAACAAACAAACCTAAACTTGCAGCTTTCATGTGACTAAAGAAAACCGATGAAAGTTCAAAGTCACCTTGAAGGCGAGCTTAGCTTTGCTCTGTGGCTGCCGGCACACAAAGAATGTGAGAAACGAGCAGATCACAGCGATAACACTGAGGACCGCCACGGACCAGGCTGCAGACCCTCCTTGGACCGCCACAACACTGAAAACACAAACCAGAACGCCTGGTGGGGCAGAAAGAAGACGAGAAACCGGATCAGAATCACTTTGAATCGCTTCCCTTCGGCTTCCCCTGAGGAGCGCGAGAGCCTCACCGAGAACACTGGTGCAAATGTTGACGATCCGACCGGACAGAGGAGACGGGTCGCTGCTCGAAGGAAAAACCAGATTCTTGATGGTGAACTGATGCTCCGCCTCTGGCAACATGTCAGAGCTCCCCTCACCGTAGGACTCCGTGTTCTCGAGCTCATCCTGAGTGTTGGCCATCTCGTAGACCATGCTCAGCTGCTCGGGCTGGTACCTAGAGAAAACAGAGCAGTCAAAACTCTGCTTCCATTTGAAGTTACACAGGTTAAAAAGACATTTAAAAACGTTACCATCGCCAACACAAAAAAATGGCTCTAACTCAGTCAGTTTAACAGGTTTGCAGCTAAACTGGTCGATTATTGAATCCACCCAGTCTGGACACACATCTGAGAAGAAACCTGATGAGAACAGGAGACTACCTGAGGACCAGAACGCATGCAGCCACCAGAGTGTACGCCAGCAAAGTGCCAATGGACATGAGGTCCACCAGGTCCTTCAGGTCCAACAGAAAAGCCATCACAGCTGCAGGAACAGAGGAGAAAATATCACATCAACACATTTCACAACAACGTAATGCAGGAATTGTTTGTTTCCTAATAATATTAAAGTAACAGGTTCACATTTATTGTTCAGTTCAGAATCATGTGTGCTTTTGTCATCATTCTCCTGCCACAGGGGGGCACTATTGCCTTTAGCTTCATCTCAGCCACCTACCAGACATAAGCCCAATCAGGTGCTGCTCCATCAGGTTTGTACGCAGCAATACTACAGAAAACCTCAATTATCAGGGCTATTTTCCTGCATTTTCTCAGGTCTGGTGTTGAGGTCATGGATTCTGAACGGAAAACCCAGCCGGTGAGTGGGTTTAGGTTGTGGCCTCACCTGCAACGGCGCCTGATGTCACTGTAGCTGTTAGAGGAGTTTTGGTTCGGGGGCTGATTTTAGCCAAGCATTTGAAAAGCAGGCCATCTTCTGCCATGGCCCAGATCACTCTCGGCATCGGAAACATGGAGCCCAGTAAACTAGCACAGGGTAGGGGGAGGAGAGCATGACATGCTGATAAGTACAGAGTTAGAATAAATGCTAAAAACAGGTGGATGTCTGGAGGAATAAAAATGGAATGTCACTGCATACGCTCTCTGTGTAGATCTATTGTTTGTAATAAAGCTGTAACTTTCACTTGTTACAGCAAAGATACTGAACTTGTTGGAGGTTTGATTTCTTGCACTTATAGAATAGAATAGAAGGTGATAGAATAGAATAGAATAGAATAGAATAGGTGATAGAATAGAATAGAATAGAATAGGTGATAGAATAGAATAGAATAGAATAGGATAGAATAGGTGATAGAATAGAATAGAATAGAAT